CATCCAAGGGAATATCCTGTCTACTCCGTTCACTCTGTTCTCAATCTTTCTTACCCATTCATTCTCCATTCGTCATGTCTGATCATCGCTTCAACAAGAAGCGGAGTCATCCCTGAGATTACACTGAGTGTGGCCCATGGCATTCTATATACCCCGCACAAGTTTATAAGAAAGTGCCTTTGTGCCGCGTTCAGCCTGTCTAACATTCGTCCCATGCCAGTCAGCAAGCTGATGGGCCAGGGATTTCCGTCCTTTGGTATCTATACAACCTTTGTCTTCATACTTCCCTCTAACCAGACAGGCCTTGAAGAGTTCTAGCAAGCATTCGCCCTTCCATTCCGTCACCTTCCGAAGGATTTCGTTAGGTTCCCCCATTCACTCCAGTATCCTTCCCGCCAAGAAGCTGCTCCGCTACCGCTCGCAGCTCTCAGACCGCTCGCAGCTCCCCGATCGATAGTGCTGGCTGTTCCTCACCTCATTCCTCTCATCCTCTCTACATCCCTTACCGCCTGATAGGAGTGTCGCTCAGAGTATCATCCTTGGGGAAGTACTTGTTCAGCAAGAATCTACTGGTCTCTTTTTTCCCCTCGGTGAAGATCCCACCCTCCTTCGCAACATTTGATGGCATCTCCTCAGCTCTCTTATTGTTGAGGAGTCGATAAGAGTGGTCCCATGGGTTTTCATCCTTGATTCGCCCCACTCTTTTCCTCAACCATGTAATTTTTGCATTCCATATCATTCTTTTATACCTATTTCTTTCTCTCATGTACTCACACATCCTTCTTCTCCTTTCTTCACCGTCCCTCATGCTTTGAACCTATATCTTCTTTCTTCTTACGTATCTTCGTATGCATTCCAGCTCCACGTTAACCATACTTTTTTCTGTTTCAATCATCTTTTCACTACTAGGTATATATCTCTTGCATGTTTCTTTCAATTTTTCTTGAAGCTGTAAGGCTTCCCTATCAATCTCTTCTATCGTATCTCACCTCCCTGGGTGGTATTCAAAAATAATCCGTTTCATCCCATCCTAGTCGGTTGGTCTTATATTTGTAAATATCACCCTTCTCTTCTTCGGTAACCCCACCAAGCAAAACTCGATCATCCTATGATCACTCAATGTCTCTTCCATACTCACTTTCCATACATTCACCTGCGTATTCGCGCTAATGGTCAGGTCTACCCAACTTTCACCCCTATTGCTGGAGAAAGTGGCGGGACTTTCGCAGTCATTTTCTACCATAAACCCTTTTCCCATTACCCATTCTAGAACATCTTCTCCCTTTTCATCCGTGGTGTTACCACCCCATGCAACGTTCTTCACATTCATATCTCCAACCAGAATCTTTCTTCCTTCCCATTCATTAAAAATTCTCCTATTTCCTATCATTCTGACATTTCTCCTTCCACTTGGCTCGTCATACACATTCATAATGTATGTTGCCTCTTTCGTTTCCTGCAAGTATACCTATCCCATTCATACTTCTTACATTCTTAAGGGCCAAGCTATCGATGGTGGATCGGACCCAGGTGCGAACCTTAGTCCCTTCTCCACCATCATGTTCAACCCATCCTTCCCAAGCCGGTTCCCTAGCCCAAAGTTCCTGAATACACACTACTGCGGCGTTTTGTTCTTTAGCAATCCTCCGCAGCAGTGTGGTGGATTCCTTTCCTTTTTAATTTGTAGAACTCTGAGTATAATTAGTTCTTCTTCGTTGTAGCTCGACCCTTATCACGTATACTGTGCACTTGGGATCCAATGCTGAGTGCCTTCTCTCGCTCGCAGTCACCCCGTCCCATTTGAATTTCATGCAACTGAGTCCTCTATCGCCTCTGCATTAACGCCCCTCGTGCTGTCCTCCACACTTGTTGCATGCCGTTTCCTGCCTGCACACCTGCGGTGTGCCAAAATTACAGAATTTCGCCATGCTATTATGCTCTTCCACATGTATGTAACATGAGGTTTAGGCTCACTACACCAACACTCATGAGTCTCTGGAAGAGCTTCGCATTCACCTCCATGATTACCTTCTCCTTCCATTTGGTAATCCGACATTCTTTCCGCTTTCACACTATCATACTCTCTCTATCTTCCTGTGTTAAATCTTCACCCAACTCTGGGTTCTTATTTACCACAAGAGTAATCAGCTCCTCATCATATCCTTTCTCCACTCCAGTAAACAGGACATGGGGATTCGGTTTCTGATCATATTTAACATTCACCCGTCTCTCATCCCGGAGCTCGCTCCCTGATTTTCTGCCTCTCCTCCTCGATTTTTTCCTTTACTACCACGGTTTATAGTGATCGCTTCCACATAACTTAAACACCTTCGCTCTGGAGTCGATTGCTCACGATCCTGTCCGTGGGGGTTCTATCTTCCTGGTCCTTTTTCATGACAACTATCTCTTCTTCAAGAGGTGGCGGAGTTTTCCAGCCTGCTCAACTTTGCTCCTGTCTGGGTCTTCGAATTTCTGCTGGGTATGTTCTCTTCATTCAATTCGTTTTCCTTTCTTTCTTCTCCCTTATATCTCTTGAAAACCTGCATCAGTTTCCATTTCAGTAGTTATTAGCATGCCCGATTCTTCAGTTAGTATTTCGCTTGTCTTCACCTTCTTTTCTTGTTCCCCTGTTCCGCTCTGCTTTTTTCGCTTGCCTCTTTCTACCCTTGATTATTCAATCCCTTTTTCAACTGCCCATCTATGTCTGTAAGCTGCCGCTTACCGAATATAATGAAGCTCCCCTTCCGGTTAAATTGAACCTTGCCACCTCAGAATCTGGTCGTGGCCTCTGGAACAGCCTCGACCATCTCCCCAAACCCGGCAGTCAGAAAGTTAGCTTTCCGGAAGAAAAATATTTCCACTTAATATTAAATATACTTCAATTTTGAAGTATCAAATCGTTAGATATGCACAAAATGTCACTCAATTGTTTTTTTACTTAAAGTATTGTGTCTCTGTCACTTATTTGCAGGATTTTACAGAAAATTCAAACCTTTAAGTCCACTAAACACTTTTCATGTATTCAATATTGTCGAAACCATGCCAGTTACTGGATTTATTTCACTTCACACAGTTTCAAACTCTTTGCGGCAAAGAGGCATCCTTGGCTCTAAATCTTGAGTCACAGTCAAGGTCATCTACAATGCCAAGGTCACTTCAAGGCGCCTCACACAAAACTCGGCGATTCTTGGTTGATACTTATTCTCGAAAAATTCATGTATTACTAAGCATATGACTCGACTCTGTTCTAACATTTTACCACTGACATGACTTTTGATTTATATGAATTTTTAAATTTTTGTCTTTCGAACATTTCTGATCAAGAAATCAGGAGTAGAGATCAGTTGTGAATAGTGTTTGCAATACTTGATATATTTTGAAGCCATAATTTCAATTTTGAAGTTGTCAATTGAGTGCATGAGGAGTCAATTAAAAAAAAGGAGTAACCAATGAGTGTACCAATTATCCATAACAAGCACCAAGCACTGTTCCTAAACACCAGATGATCGTCAATACTCTTTCTGACGAATTTTACCATTCCGATTGGCGACTTCAGGGTACAGATCATTGATTCCTTGAGAACAAACTGATAGGAAATTTTGTGTATTTTACAAAAAAGTTATTCATATGAAGGTTGTTTTGAATAGGACCTGTCTCACTGTTCTAATGTCACATTTTGCTATATCCAGACTTTCAAAAGCAACTAAAAGTCTACTGTGGTGGGTGAACGACACTAGACTTTTCAGGCATCCGAAGTTTATGTGCTGTTTTGTTATGAAAATGTTTTGATAGTCCGCAGTTCTCACGGCTCATTTTATATATCCCCGACTTTTCATTCTCTAATATCTTGCCTTTCAGGCATTGTTGAAATGTATGTGATGGAATTGGTCGATACTTGATAAAAATCCATAATGTATTCAAGAAACACTTCACTAAATGACGAGACTACTCTTTCTTGACCAATAGGCTTGTTCAGTTTCGTTTGAATACATAAATATACGATATTGAGAAACATGTTTCAGAGACATATAAAAGTAATGGGTATTTTTCAAATAAAATAGATAATTCAATAAGGAAACGTACATTTTCGGGAATCTTCGACTTCAGAATAAACGGGCTATCAAAACTCTGGGAAAGAAAGTTTTTGGCCGTCTATTTCTCCATCTTGATACAAAAAATGTGGGAATCTTCCAATGAAAGGAAGGAAGCAATCAATTTAAAAAATCCGATGTTTCGCCTTAAGACAATTCTTATCGGCTCTGCAGTAGCAAATACATTATAAGAAAAAGCACTCAATTCGTTCATAAAATTACGACTTTTTGTCACGGAATGGGTTGAATCTACCCATGTCATCAATGACAGTACCTAAATAACTTTCATTTGCTTGAATCCCAGCCATAGGAATCTTGTTTAAATTGAAAGGGTATATTTTAGGGATTGGAAAAGAAAGTTTTTGGCCTTCTACTTCTCCATCTTGATACAGAAAATGTGGGAATATTCCAAAGAAAGGAAGGAAGCAATCAATTTCAAAAATTAAATCCATACAAAGATGTGTAGATCATGCAAAGAAGTAACTTTCAGACAAAAACTGGAAGAAAAAGCCCTACCAAAACTCATTTCAAAGAACACGTAGCACATATTCGATTTCAGAGACCGAAAAAACTTAGTGTCGTTCAACATACCTATATAATTCGGAGAACGACCATATAGTGTAAATTAACACTGTTTCATGAGATCATTTTCTGACAATTTATACCCAAGAAATCATTGATATATATCTAAAAGTGAAAGTGTACTTGTCGAGTAAGGTTGAGAATTAGTCTACTTCAACTTCTGAGTTCGGCAAATTTGTTGGTGAAACGTGTGTCAAGAAGAGTAATGTAGTTCTGATGATTGGGAGAAGTGCGTTTTTATTTATTTCACGCCAGTGGTTCCAATTCTATATTTTCGAGCATTCTGAAAAATTTGCTCATAGCAATGTGGTAGTAGAAAAAAATGAATAATGGGCAAAATAAACGTTTATTTTTATTATCACAAATACTAGGTTATGTAAAACGGAATTATAAAAAAATTAAAATATATATCACTTGAGTTCCCACACACTTTTAACTCTGATAGTACCAAAAACTGGTCCAGTTTTGTTGGAATCGGATGAAGTTGTAGCAGGCAAGGGATGAGAAGGTGACTCAGACACATTATTTTGAATAACTGGAACACTCTGAGAACTTACACGAGAAGTAATATCTGTCGAATTTTGATTGACCAGAGGACTTTTCCTGTGAACTGGCACATTTGAAATACTGAATGGATTGACATTAGGACTACTCGTATTATGGGTTGGTAAACTACTCAGTAGGGGTATAGTATATTGTTCCATATTATTTCCTGATTTGCTGAAAGTAACACTGGGAACAGAATCACCACTCAGATAAATAACAGGTCCTGCATTTTGTTCTGTAGTTATACATGGTTTCTTGGAAATAAGATCTGGAACAGTTGTAGTATTTCTACTTAGATTGTGTGTGCGTCCTGTATTCCGTTCAATATTCACTCTTGGTTTTCTGAAAGTGAGACCCTGTACAACGGGAGCAGGAATACTAGGTTGGAAAGGATCTATTCTTGGATCTGCGTACGTCAAAGATGTACCAGCTACACCATTACTAGGAACACAATAATAAGATATCACTGGGGTATTGAAAGTGTTTAAGGCTGTGGTCTGTGGATACACTGCCAAGTTTGGTAGAGGAGTTTCTGAAGTGGTACTATGAGAAGCAAGTTGATTAACCATCCCAGAGAGTGCAATGATGGAAGATTTGTATCCATTTTGGGATACCCCTTGATTAGGTTGTGTGGTGAGCAGAGAATTGACTGAAGGTGCAGTCCCAGGAGTAGTGATATTCGGCGAAGCAGAAGTCCTACAGTGATTGATATTAGATCCCACTTTTACATCTATGGGAGTCAAGTCATTCCAAAGACAAAGCTTCTTTGGCGAATGTGCATGTGAATTATTAGTACTGTGATCATAATCAATTTGGAAAGGCCCTTTCTTAATCTTAATAGGTATTTTATATACCAATAAGGAGGATTTCAAATTTTTCAACTCAGTTGATTGATTGTTTTCATTGACACATATCGATTTGTTTGAAGGTAACTCTGTCTGGCAATATTCCTCTTTCTCGAACTCAAATGCTGAGAACCCAATCAGAAGTTCCTTAATGAGTGTGGTAACTGGAAGTTTTGGATCAAAAATATCCAAAACGTTAGTATTTTTAATTCTAATATCCGGTTTCACTATCGAAACAGAAAGTTGAATATCATTTTCTTCAGTCTTCGTAGGAACAACGGGAGGAGTTGTAACCATTGATACTCCGTCAGCTGTTGATTTTGTCGATAATGATTCACTGGTTGCAGTTGTTTCTATAACGTTTGGTATAGTTTTCGCTTCTTGGAAATCTGTAGATGTATCATTTTTACAAGGTGAATAGGTGCTTTTCTCGTCCAACAATACTTCTGTAACTTCTTTGGTGACAACATCATCCACTCTACATTTGGTGGTATCTTCTGGTGCACTAGGCTCTAATTGAAGGCCTGGAGAGGAAATAAAGTCTTTGAAGGCATCTGGATACTTGCTTCTGATTCTTTGATCCAACTCAATTCTATCTAATTTAACCGTTGGTAAAGGGTTCATCATATTTTTGATTCGACATGCATGAGCTACATGAGAAATCTTTGCACTTATTGTTTTGAAGTTCGATTTGCAAAACTGACATCGCATATGTTTGAGTCGATGCCGTTTCAATTCTCTAACCCTATTATGGACTGAATTACAAATACTGCATATAAATAAACGTTCGGACTTGTCTAGACACAATTCATCTGAAGCCCCACCAACTGGTTTCTTCTTAGGTTGTGGTTCTGATGAGGAAGAATCTTTCGTCTCAGGATCTGAAGAAAAGTCACTGTCAGTAAGCCTTCTCCTCTTTAATTTTATGGTAACTTTTTCAGCTTCACTCATTTCACTATCGGACGAAGATTTTTCATTATTTACTATTCCTGATACACTGACTATTGAATACTCGCATTGTTTTTGAACTTTATCTTCGATTGAGATATCACTTTTTTCATTGGTTTTTGTTTTTACAAGAGGAAGGGGAAATATATCTAAAGGATCAGTGGTTGGTGTGTCAATGGAAGAGGTACTAGTTATTTTGGTAGACGCTGATGTACTCTTCTTAGCAGTTTTCTTCTCATGCTTAGTTCCTGTGTAGGTTTGTTGACCCTTCTGTTTTTTCAAATAATCTTCCACTGCGTTCATTTCCATTGAGACGGTAGGTTCAATATTACATTTAAAACAAATCGTAGGTAGTTTCAATCCGGGGTATACTGTATATAAAGCTGCTACACTTGGATGAATTTTATAATTTGGCTTTTCGACTGCTTCAGTTTTGATCTTAGGTTCTACTTTTTTTTGTGTTTTTATCGTAATGCAAGTGTTCGGAATCTTATATTCTACATTTGACGCATCAAGCTTTTCCTTGTATTTTGCCTGAAACAAAGAATATTCAAATCAATACTTGAAACAACAAAAATTTCATTCTATCATGTTGCATAAAAATATTTGTAAATTGTAATATAGTAGAGTGTAAGGTTGAAATATATTAAAAACAACTTCCTAAAAAGTAAAAAGAGCATATCTTATTATAGTATTAGTGATAATATCAAATAGCTGGTATTTTGAAAACATTCACTGTTAAATATCACAATAAACTATCACAAGGATAAGAAATATTATCTCAAAAAGAATTGATATTATTAAATATTGATAAAAAACTTATCATCATCACCTTTTTCTGAAACCCAGTGACTACAATGAGATATTATGAATTATTAAACGCTTGATAAATAATACCGGACATTACTCTGTGCAAAAACTGAAATAATGAAGGAATATGTGATGAAACTGGCAGATAGTTGACGAAAATCTATAACGTATTCAAGTAACCTTTTAATTATGAGATTTTCACTGAACGGTTAACAAGACCGCAACACGTGTTTCATCGCTAAATATGAGCTTGCTAAGCAACTGGAATTGTATGACTTAAGATCTTTGATGATATTTTAGAAAGGTTGTGATGAAAGATAAAACTCTTTTTTGGGGTTCTCAAGGGCAACAGCTTTTTATTTATGTGAAAAAAGGTTGCTTGGATAACAGGATCAATTTTTTCTTTTGAAAAACAATTGTTTTCTTGCCGACGTTTTGAACTTAAATAAATTCTTCCTCAGGGCTTCCTCAGGTAAATGAATTTTCATTTATTATACGATTAATATCAGTAGGAGATTTGAGCCGGTTCTAAGCCTCCCCCCACCACTATGACGTATTAATTGCTTTTTTATTGGTTGTTGTTTGGTGAAGTCAAAAAATTTATCTGATAAACTTGGAATGCTACTCAGTACCGAACAAACTAAAGTGGCCTTTTCAAATGAAAATACAGTTGGAAAGCATTTTCTCTCGAAACAAAAAACAAAAACACCACAAGAAATACAATTCAATATAGTGTACAAATTGAACTGTGGAAGCTGTCACAAATGCTATGTTGGTCAAACATGAATAACAATGAATGTTTACAACTTTTCATTTATCGAAACTTGAAAGGTTTTTGTTATCATTATGAAAATTTCTTAGATTTTTTAGGTCTGACTTATCTGAAGATAGAAAAACCAACTATCTACTAAACATTACTTAGGAAATTTTTTCAACAGTTAAACAAAATTAAATAAATAAAAGTTGATTTCGATATTATTTCGATAAACATTTTATAGGAGAAAGTTGTTTATTTTGACGAGATCCACCACACACTCGATCATTTCAAAATCGACTCTTGGTAAGTTGTCGGGATTCAGCTTTAACAAAACTAGGTTCAACATTCATTTTGAAATTATTTTAACAAAAATACGAAGTTTGTGGAAACTATTGACATTAGAAAGAGCACATTGTCGCATACACTACAGAGGGCGCTGGCTGACTGGATTACAATATGGCTAATATACCAGTAACGTTGAATTTCTTATTTTTTAGTGGGTGGCATGAATTCATAATTGATTTATTTTATAAGGGTTCATGAGCATTCGAAAACCATTTGAAAATACGGCTCTTTCAATTCTATGTAGAATTATATTTAGATATGAGTTATACTATATCAGTTATCAAGGCTTATTGTCCATTTTTATGCTTATTTCGTGGATTCGAGCGAGCTTATTATTGTATTCTGAATGAATTACAGAAAATTTCAATTGATCTTTCGTTTTCATAGGGAAATTGAGTACCCATATCATAATTTATTAGTTTATTCGGCATTGAAAATGTATGTCATATCATATGTAAGCGAGCCTATAACGCTTGAATTTAGTAGCTATATTAGAAAGAGGTATGTATGCAGGAATCGTTTTTTTATATTAAATTTCAGTTGTACCGATTGAGGATTGTAAAATGAATTGAATATTTGAAAGGATTCTTTAATCCAGTTTGCTATATTGTTTGATATTCATAACTGTATATTATTATAGTAAAACCAATAATGATTGAGAGTAAAGCGCTTTGTCATATCTAAATTTTACGTTACCAGTTTATAGCAGAATCAAAATATAGTAAGCAGTAGAGTTGTAGGTTGTGGCAAATTATAGATAATACACAATACTAGTACGATTAAAAGGTATTATTTATGACAAAAATCAGTAATGAGCTTGTAATGAGTAATACTTATACATTTCCTGATTACTGATCAGTTAAAATTCATTATTTTCTGTATAGTGTTNTGAAGATTAGACGAAAATTTGTACATTTACATTTATATTATATTCTATTATCAAAAATGTGTAATTTGTATTTTCTAGTACCCCTGACGATGAGTTTAAGTTACTCGAAAGCTTGAGAATAGTTATATATATAGGAATATATATATATTGTGTTTTTTATTAATATTGTTAATTTATTTGGTACCTACTATAATTACCACGATTATTACTCCGTTTTCATAAGGCCCACCTAATGACTACAACGATTAGGTAAATTACGATATTGCAAAGTTTTGATGAAATAAATAAAAAATGTGTATGAATATTTTAATTAATTGTACTAAGAATTTTTCTTTCATTCTTAACCCTCTCAAAAATTAATAAGCACGCCCCCGATTTGCTGTCAACTGGGCTTACTTCTACTCTCAATCATCATTGGTTTTAGTATAAATAATGCATAAAATCATAGTTTAGGTAAATATTTTGTGATCTATCGACTTTGCGTACTGATTTTATATATACCTTATTAATTTTCATTAATTGAAACGTTAACGGATTCATATACACTTTCATAATTAAATTGTTAATTAAAGGATTCGTTAATTTCACGATTTGGCAATGTTGATTATTTCTATTGTTCCTATTGGTCAATCGAACAAGAAGCGGGAATATGGCCGTGACGTCACCACCCTACCACATTCAATTTTTAATAATTAATTACGGGAAAACTACGGTACTTAGAGAGATGAAACAAAGTGCACTGTTTTTCAATTTAAAATTTCTATCAAGTGAACTATAAACCAAAAATCATGAAACAAGTCCATTGAGAATGTTTATATGTCTTTTTCATATTTGGACAGGAAGTTTTAATTCTCAGTTTTCAAGAAGTGGATTTAGCTTCAATAAAGCTAAAGTGAAATCATTGAAATAAAAAATGTTGCAAAAACATATTTGCATTTCGTTATTAATAATACCCAAATCAGCCGTGTATTGCCATCTATTGTATCGGATAAATATTAGTGAAAGGTTGTCTGAATATATTTCTTTATGAATGGACTGACCCGTTACTTTATGAAAATGAATAAAACTATCCATAATAATAGTTACACAATGTTCTCAAACATTTTAATTTTTTGATGCGTTTCGCTAACACTGTAGCATTCTTGGTAGGAATGTATATTAACCCTGGGCTACATTTTTAATATACAAAAATTAAACCCCTAAAAATATAACCCCTTCAATTCAAACAATAATAGGTACCTAACTTAAGTCACTATTAGTGAAAGCGATCCCCAGGTAGCATTTGTAAACCAATTACACTATCAGTTCTTGGAGATCAGGTAAATTTTGAATATAAATAAACTTCTCGGTATTATAAAGGTTCAACAATGGTAAGTGGTGAACCTTCTGTTGGTCGTTCAGTAGGCAACCCGAACGTTTACTCTTATGTATTTCTAGCGACTCCAGCAGGTTCAACTTCCGTCCTTTAGCTTTTACATGGAGTATGTTATACATAGTGTTGAAATCGTGATCGTTTTTCAAAAGGTGACCACGCATAGGTGGAATTGGTCTTTAGTACAAAACTTCTTTTATGTTCTGAGATTCTCGGGCACTGCGAGCGTTAACACATCGCCTTTGATAATATCTGCCGCAGTAGTCGACGAAACGTCAGGCATAAAAAGCTGAAGACATCGAAAAAAAACCGGAAAATAGCTTTCACACAATTGTGTAATTATTATCATGGATATCTTTTTATAATTCAAAAGATAACCCAAGAATAATTTGAAATAATGAGTAAAAATTAGCTGGAGGAAAGTTTTTTTTTGTATTTGGAAATACTACAAAAATGTTCATTATGTTATCAACTCAATGACTCATGAAATTCATGATAATAAATAGAAATTTTCACAATCTAGATTTTATTTCCAATACCTGGAACCTACTGTTGCAGTGAAACACATTTTGGAAATAAGCTCTATGTGGTGTTCGCCGAAAGAAAATACATTGGGGCCGTCCATTAATCATGTGAGGCTTGCAAGGGGGGGTAGCAAAAATCACGAAATATCGCAAGGGGGGAGGTGTAGTAAGAATACACGTGTATTAATTTTTTCGTGAATTGCGCGATTTCTAAAGGGAAAAGCGACGTGTAATGTCACTTTGACTCGCTGTTGCTAGGCAACGAACGAAATCCCCGCCCGCCGATCACCACGACGACCGTCCTGCTCGGTTTACCAGTCGCCAGTTTTATTCTGTCATTTTGGAGCCGAATATATGCGTACACCGTTACCTCGTACGTTTTTCATTACAACAATGTATATTTGCAGAGCACGAGAAAGAAAAAAATTCAAGATTCTTTGTAGGTACTGAAAAATACACATGATCTTGGGTGTGGGAGGGGGGTTATTCTTAAACTTCACCACGTATCACCAAAGGGGAGGGGGGATTAATGAACGCTGAAAAAAACATCGCATGATTAATGGACAGCCCCATAGTGTACGACAACAAGATTTCGGGAAAAACATGTTAAAAGTTTCGCAGTGTATTACTACTATGTACCTTCACGCCTTCAGTGGGGTGTAAGGTCTTGATATCATTGGTCTGGGTACCTGTGACGTCATTTCTTTAATCTTTGTAATATTCATTCTCGTTGTAGTGTGGCGGTAGCTTCAGTAATCGGGTCTGCGATTGCGCTACAATGCAGCTGATTGAAGTAACCTTTTATGAAGTAACCTTTTCGTATCTGAGTTTTCTATGCATACTTGGGACATCATCTCAAACAGTTTCTTTCAATTTCGTAATTTTCGTGACAATTTCATCAAGAATTATTGATTTTTATAAATTCTATTTTATTAAAATAGACGCGAGTGATGAGGTTTTCGATAAGGGGTTCGAAGCGGTTAATATGATGTATGATAACGTCTTATTCTAATTTTGAACTCTAGAAGAACTGAATCAGCCTTATTATTTTATATCAACCTGGAGGCGGAGAATAAATAGTTCCAATAAATTCGGCACTTTTCATTTCTGCAACGGAATCAATAACCCCCGAAGCGTAAGGAAACAGCGGTGTCCCGCAGGGGTGGCGAATTTGACAATAAAGCAGTCGTAGGGCCGTGTTGATGCAAATGAGCTGATATCGCAAAAGCATAAAATCAAGTTAATCGGCCTCACGAGCAGGTGTTCATGGTTGTAGACTATGTAGAGAAGAAGTGCCGAAGGTGGTAGAAGATAACTCTTAGGTCTGCATTATATCGATGGCAATAGAAAAACGACAAATGCACGAGCGTCTCAGGCGCATTGTGGTATGGCGTGCACCTGGTGTCAGGAACCTCTACACCCATCATGCGACGATGGTCGACTGAGGTGTTGAAAAAGACACAATCCTATCAGGCCGTGATGAACCCCTTATTTCACGAACTCAGCCCACTCGACTTGAGGAAAACAAAGGTCAAGTGATTTGATGAGCAGACGTCTTCAATGTTATTGAAGAAGGTCTCATGCATCGGCTTATCGTTGCGTAGCCGCATGAGTGAGGTGATCTTTGGGGTTTTTTTGATGTAACTGAGTTGTGATCACCTCGTCATCAACTAAACCAAATTTATTGGCCGCTCGTGCTGCTTTGGAAAGAAATGCTCCAAATGTTGCTCTCTTATGGTCGAAGAACATGTAGAGGACGTCCAAACCCTTGGTGACTTCAAAGGCTCCATCTGGTATCATTTTGTTATGTAGACACTCACAAATGAAGTGCTAAGCCTCCCTATTGTCGGGAGTCGTAAAACTAACCGGACAATATGGGATGCATACTTGGGACTTTATGTACGACTCCAACTGTCCTCCCTGTAAATTTAGTACAGAAGCGAGTCTACAGAGGAGATGGATGTCGAGTTTACGACTCCAACTGACCTCCCTGTAAATTTAGATCAGGAGCGAGTCTACAGAGGAGATGGATGTCGAGTTTACGACTCCAACTGACCTCCCTGTAAATTTAGTTCAGGAGCGAGAGCTTCTCCACTCCCCAACTCCTGATCCAACAACTGAACCTTAAAAAATAGGTTTGGTGGTGCAGCCACGAAAAGACTGAGTCGTCTCCTTAAGAGCGGGGTACCTTATAAAATCGCCTTGCACCAAATTCTTGAGCGGCGTACCCAGAATCTGTTTCAGGTGGAGGAACAAACCCCCCATGAGCAGGTTAGCAAACATTTGCGCTCAAGTGATGATTTTCCAAAACCAGAGGCGAAAAAGCCCTGCACGGTTGAATGAATCTAAGGCATCGTCAGGTGTAGCTGACGTGCAAAAACCCTCATATGGGAAGGTTGTCGTGGGTATCAAGGTGAGAATCTTGCAACTTGACTATCCGACAACCTCATTAACGATAAAACAGCAGAGCATATACTTTGTGCCTGTCCCGCTGGGGACCGAATCAGGTTTTTAGAGTTCGGCAGAGCCGTACTCTTACCATCTGACCTGAAAGACCATTCACCATACAAACTTATCGTACTCTTCCACCAACCTCAAGGACTTTACTTCCGAAGCATGAAGTTTCTGGGTAATCCATATAAAATAAACGGGTGACCTTATCTGGTTTCCGATAGTGCACCAGTTGTACCCTCGGGTATTTCTGAACGCAATAGAGTGAGATGCACAAAAAAGGGGGCTGATGGAATCGTCTTGAACTACACCCCTTCTGAAAATGAACCGCTCTTTTTGGACACTAGCCTTGTCAGATTTTATGGTAATGCAAGTCCTCCAAAGTGCTATCCGTTCTTCAAGTCGTGTACTGCAAGGCATTTGAGCAAATGAAAGATGGATGAGTTTATGCGATGTTGTATCAAATGCCTTGCGGTTGTCGATCCAGGCCATAGGAAGGTTACTTTTATATTGTATTGTATTCTTCACCAAAAAGTATTCGTCCCATCCGGGAGAGGAGTAGCAAGGTTCTTATACCCCACAAGGCTTCTTCAAATGTCATCCGGGGTTCATTCTCAACACTTCAATACAAAGCAGTATTTTTATTAGAGATACGATACTATAAGAGATCTTTGTTTTCTGTTTCTGTTGTGCGAGCTAAGGACAAACGAGGTCTTATCTTTTAACGTGTGATTCCTAACACGGTTGCTGAATCATTCCAGCTTCAACCAGACAAATTATCTCGAGAAAAATATCTGATCGAGGCGGGAACTGAACCCACGGCCTTCCGATCGTGAGTCGGGCGCACTACCACAGCGGCCAATTCCCCAATTAATTTGAATTACTCCACAAAAATTGAAGTTTTCAAAAATGTTGGGAGACTCGATATTTTTTTCATGTCAGATTGTACCCTTTTTGCAATTTGACGGAATTCGTGGAGGGTCAGCGAGATAAGAGAATAATTGTTGTAATAAATAATGTAACATTTCTCCTGCCTAATATGAAGTGAAATATTATAATTATTATATATACAACAAATCTTTTAATTTCCTTACCTTAAGATATCGATCATTTTCTTGAGACGCATTCCGGAATTGAAACATCTTAATGGAAATATGGCAGCATTTTTTACATATTTTCTGGGATATTACGTCCTTTTCGTAAATCTGTAATAATAAAATAATCTCAGTACATTTGATATTCAGGGCAATAAACTTTTGGGTAGAAAAAAGGGTACTTTGTTTGCTAAGTTCATATTTTTTTTACCCTTGGGAGCTGTCTGACTTGTCCATTTAGTCCAAGTCTCCAGAAAACACTGCAGCCTCTTGGACTTATTGCGTTTATTCTCCCATCTTCTCATGACAGTCTCGTTCCGTGTACTAGTTTGTAGCCAGGTACTTTTGTCCAGTACTCCATGTGCTTCTTATTGGTCCATGTCCTAATCTGGTTTCGTACCAATGATTTTGGTACCCCCATAGCTAGTTCAGGACCTATATGAAGTTGATGACCCGTGCCTAGCGCATTCATCAGCTTTAGCATTACCTGTGATTCCTGAATACCCTGACACCTAGTACAAAGTTAATTTGTTTCTGTTTGCAAGTTCATTCAGTTCTTCATGGCGTTCCCAGACCAGTTTTGATGTCACCTTCGGGTTTGTCAGAGCCCCTAGTGGGCTCTTGCTGTCTGTTAAAATATTGATTCGCTCATTTCTTTGAGGTCTCAATTTAATAAGCCTTGAACACTGCAAGATAGCATACACTTCCGCCTGAAAGACGGATGTGTATAGTCCTAGCGGATAGCTGTAGTTTAAATTTCTATCCGCTCGGTACATTCCACCTCCCGTTCCATGTTTGGTCTTCGATCCATCTGTGTACCAGGTGTTTTTTCCAAACATGTTTTCGGGATGACTAATGGTCGTCCACTCTTCACGGTTTCGAACGTGAAGTTTGTGTTAAAGGTGTACTTCGGTGCCATGTGGTCCATGCACATATTCAATATGTGCTCCCCCACATGTTCCGAAATTTCTGTTCGGTCCGATCTTTTGTAGTTCGGGGAGTTTTCCAGTCTGAATTGGCCCATCCTGCCCCCTTCTCCATTATCACAATAATAATAACAAATTAAGCTTTTCCAACTAATAAGTTGTATACTCGTCCACTTCCGCATCTTCTCTGGAATATTGAATATCTAGAAGAGAACTCTCCGCTTGATATGAGATCCCATTGGTCCTGACTCCCTTTCAGAGACACTTATACGTGTTCGAGTGACTTGGTTTTAATGTGCTCGAAACCAGTAATCCAAAAGTTTGCTTCTAACTAAGAGCAGACCACTTCATTTTCAAAAAATTTTTTAGAACTCTTTCATTTGGAGGACTTGGTGCTTTTTAGCATCTTTTCAAACACCCATCTTTCCCGAGATGATCTTTCCCGAAGAACTACTTCAATAAAACAGGGATCGGCTTAGAACGATCACAGGACTACTCATTGGACACTGTCCACTAAGAGGACACCTGAATAAAAAAGGAAGACTTTATCTGTGGGCAATGCAACAAAGGGACATTATACGCGAATGTGAGGCTTTGGATCACAAATGACTAAAAATTTTTGGAAAACTAGAAGAATATGAGACCTACCCAGTCCTTGAGGATGCGATGTTTTATGGGGAGTTGAAAGAAAAGGACATGGCTCCCAGGAACATGGTCTCCTACCCAAAATCGCGCGTAATATTTGGAACCAAGTAAAATTTTTCAAAATATTATCTTTAAATGCAGTTATGATTTAATTTGATTCTGGAAAAAAACACCATGATAAAAATATCCATGCTTACATTGAAAGTTGCATGTTGTTTCTGAATGGTGAAGAAAGAAAAGGTGTAATGTAAAAAACACAATAAATGCATAAGTAAGGGGAATTTTATGACGTTATTATGATGATAGTATATCTGTCATTCAATAAATGATATTTGTAAATAATAGCAACAGCTCACAACTGTTCATAGAACTGATGAACCTTCGCATCAAAATAGGAAATTCGATGCACCGGAGCGATTGAAACATAATTGGCCGTTTGTCTGAAGGTGCTTGACAATGTTTCATGTTGAATTTCATTACTTCGGACTTTCCTTGTCTAATATGACATAATATAAATTGAAATCCCTGAAAAAATAGAATTAGAATGAACTGCTGAAAATGACAATATTAATAAGCAACCAAACCCTGAAATGAAATTACAATAAAAATTAGTCAAAAAATTTAAAATTGAACAATCAAAATGAAATAAAATTGAAAGATTTCAAGTCAAGTTATTTCACGACGTTTCGATTGTTAGTATCCACAATCGTCTTCGGGTGATGACTGGATTTATTCCTCCGAGAGATGACTATTTATAGGTCATTCGAGTGCTTTCACCTATCCCCTCTCTCTGCTTCACCGGTTTAGCGTGTGATAACCGTTTGACGGGAGTTTACCGTTTTCCACTTGATTATGGGTTTCTATATGTTGCGTATCTCTACGCTAGCTTGGATGAATGCGCCATAGGACAACATATAAAAAATATGTTCTGTTTAAAATCTGTTTTTCCGTTAACCAGCTGTCGCACCCCTACGAACGACAACCCTCAGAAGTCGAAATTTGTGCGAGCTAAGGATTAACGAGGTCTTACCTTTTAACGTGTGATTCCTAACACGGATTGGATTGTTACTATCAACAATCGTCTTCGGGTGATGACTGGATTTATTCCTCCGAGAGATGACTATTCATAAGTCACTCGAGTGCTCTCACCTATCCCCTCTCTCTGCTTCACCGGTTTAGAGGGTGATGACCGTTTGGCGGAAATTGACCATGTTCCGCTTGATTATGGGTTTCTATATGTTGTGTATCTCTACGCTAGCTTGGCTGAATGCGGATAACATATAAAAAATATGTTCTGTTTGAAATCTGTTTTTCCGTTAACCAGCTGTCGCACCCCTACTAACGACAACCCTCAGAAGCCGAAATTTTTGCGACGTCTTACCTTTTAACGTGTGCTTCCTAACATGGGTTTGGCGATAGCAAGTGAAAATCGATCGTTCAGACTAGGGCTTGAACCATCGACCAACACGGCAGTCAATTCGAGTGAGTGAAAAAAGCACTTACGTCGAACCGCCTGGCTACCGACCGACCTTTTTGGATTTCCTCCTAAACCAGTGTTCCTCCCTGTGGATGATCTCAGCTTGGGACCACTTGATGTTACGTTGATGAGACCAAACATGCTCTGCTATACCCAATTTGCTGGTTTCTCCTCGCAATGACCTCTCAGTTTCACCGATATGAGATTAGTCCCGATTCTTCTTATCCAGTCCGATAATCCTCTGATGTAGGAAAGTGCAAGTACTGGTTGTGGCGACTTCTCTTCCTTGTTAGGCTCTTGCTGTCTTCTTCCAAAGTGGAGTTACCATTCCGTTGAAGTTCTTTTTTGATAATACCTAGTTCCATCTCGAGACCTTCCTTCGTATTACAAAGCCTGAAAGCACGGTCTACCAGAGTCTTGATCATCAAGATTCTAGTAGATCGTTCTTTCGAGCTTTGCAATACAAAAGAAAGCTCGAGAAGGAACTAGGCATCACCAAAAAGATCTTGAAGATAACAAGAGCCTCGCGAGAAAGAGAAGCCCTCACAATCAGTCCTTGCACTTCCCTACATCAGAGGCTTGTCGGAAAGGATAAGAAAAATTGGGTCGAAGCACAACATCAGAACATTCAGCCAGGATATTAGTCAACTCCCGCCAAACGGTCAACTCCCGCCAATTCCCGCCAAACGGTCATCTCCCGCTAAATTGGTGAAGCGGAGAGAGGGAAGAGGGAATAGGTGAAATCACTCGAATGACCTATAAATGTCATCTCTCGGAGGGATATTCCAGTTATCACCCGAAGACGATTGTGGATACTAGCAATCGTAACTTCGTGAAATAATTTGGTTTTAAATCTTTTAATTTTTATTGTTCAATTTTTTGTTTAATATTTATTTTATTGTAATTTCATTTCAGGGTGTTGTTGCTTAGTATAACTGCCATTTTCAGCTATTCATTCACCATTTCTTCTTTCAATGATTTCAAATCATATTAGACAATGGGAGTCTGTACTAATGAAATTCATAATTGACCGTCTCATGGTGGAAACGATGGAAAATCCATAAATAGGTATCACAAACGGTTTATAACGTCAGACCCAATAGAATCCATCACCACAATATTACAGAAAAGCAGTGCTGAACCTTTCTGATCGGACACAATCAGACGAGTTCGTTATACCCATTACTTCAGCTGAGCATGGATAGAGTCCAATAGAATCCAATATCAATAAATTGCTGGTAGGTTAGGTTAGGTCCAAAGTCAGTGGGTCTTGGCACAGGATCATGAGTGCAAAGTTTCTGGACTCGCTCGGCGGCTGATGTCGAAGCTTGGCTTTGCAGCTGCTTTCATCTGGATACGTAATATGCTACTACAAATTGGTAGGTTTTGCATTGCAATGGGAGGTTTGGTTTGTTCGAAAACTCAAGCATCTAGTGTTCATTCGCACATCTTCGACAAATATTTCTGCTTCTACTTCTTGAGGGATAGATGATTCTATCTAACATGACGTAGCAGAGTTCGAAAATGTCGATTTTGAAAACACCAAATGGATGTTAATAATAATACTTACATCAGTAAGGAAACTGGTTACTTGACAGGGCAAAGTGCGGGTTGAAGACTACAAGGAAATGGAATATGGTTGAGAAAAGTGAGGAGTTTACAGTTATACCCAGCAGGAAAATAAAATAGTTTCAATTGGTTTCCACTATTGAATCATCTTACTATCGAGTCAAAAAATACCTAACTATAAAATGTAACGTTCAATTCGGACTTTTTTTGTTGTTGATAGGAATAGTAAATACTCGATATACAGCACGGGGTCAAAACTGACCCCTGACCATGGAATATTCCGTGTAACTGAACATGAGTGTAGAAAACTCACTGATGAATGATAGACGTATGTCTATCACCAAATAACCGAATCACTATTCTGTTCCAAAAATGATTGGACCGAATTATATCAAACAAAATTGCCTCATTGTTCTATACTCGCAAACCATAATTTTTATGGAGCTGAGAAAAATACTTAGTACCCCCTATATTTTTTATTAGGTGTCAACCAAGTTTACACAGAATCTCATTTTGTTTCACGAATTACTGAACCAGCTTTGTAGAAAAATAACGAGTTAACGAAACTAACATTCCAAAAGGAAAACAGTAGTAGTCTCCAGCAAAAACTTACAATACTCTTACTCCATGAAAGATAGCTACTACCTAACATGAAGTGGCAGAACACCTATACTCTAGTAGAGGTGGGGGTAGTATCACTCTTGTATATCGATGATACATAAGCACTACTTCCACTTCTATCCAAATAATGTAAGACATTGAACCGCCCCTGTATATCGACGACACTTTAGTACGACTCACTCCTCTAACCTATACCCCAGTTTGAAGGCCATCGATTTTTGGAATTTCTTCCTAACGTTTCGCTGGCGCAAGTGACTTGCTTCTTCAGGAGTTCATACATCGTGAATGTATCTTCGATGACTGGGTATTACGACTGCGTAAAGCGTATTTATGTTGAGTCAGGTAGTTTGGTGTGCTAATCTGTATCTGAATTAGGTACATTATCAATAACATTCATTGACCCTTTTCTACCTGTCGTCAGATACCTGGCGGCACATTAAACTTCCAAAAATTGACGGCCTTCAAACCCGAATAAAAGTAGTTACACTGTACCCCAGTATTTAACATAATTAAACCTGCAATCAAGTTCAATTCATGACGTATATTCCGAATCTCTTTCATGAAACAAGCTTCTATCGAAATTATAAAACGTGCCCCTGTTCCACAATTTAAATAGAGAAGTGCTAAATACTCCTATATTTCTATTCCATTTATTTCAATTTTTTGTTTGTTTCAAAAATTATCAAACCAGGCTTGTATAAAACATACAAAATGACATTTTGTAGATAGTCAAGTAAATAAGTGAGTATTAAAATTTCCCCATATTTAATTGAATGCATTTGAACAAATATAGCCGCTTCCTCAATCCGCTCAAAAAAATATTGAACCAAAAAGATATCAAAAACTAATTTGTTGACTCAGTTCTATATTCATTTATTTTGTTATATGAATCTTGGGAAAATTCAGGGGTCCCTGTATGTGTATCAGCAAATATAACGTGTTAGTTAACCAAATGAAACTAATTTACATTTTGTTCTGAAAATTATGGAACCAAGCTCGTAGCAAGATATACAAAATGGCCGACCCTGATAAACGGAGCCGACATTTCACGAGGAAACTAGTAGTAGCCTCCAGCAAAGATTAACAGCACTTTCGACAAATCTAACCAATTTTGTGAAAGAAACGTTGACTTACCTCAACTCCTGTTGTAATGAGTATCACATTTTTTATATCGTTCACACTATTAAACCTCTTGTCGAAAACCGAGACTAGGTTTTCATTGGATAGGCACAACCTACAAACATTTTCTACTGAAGCCATTTTCAAGTTTGGACAATTCGCTTGACATAAAACTTTCACAGGAAACACCCAATAAGAAATTGGTTCATCGACTAACTACAATCTGCTCCCTCCCTTTCTCGAAACAAACTCAAGCTGGCGACTGGTAAATGAGGAGGCTAGATCAGTACATGGGTTTATAGCGCCAAACGAAAATATTTCGGGGGACGTCGGGTAGCCTCGGTCGGATACATTCCATTCTCCTCTTGTCACCCCTTGTTCTATTATCGAACGTAAGTGAGCAATAATACACAGAATTGTGAATGTGATTATTTTTATAATTTGTTTTATGAATTAGGTAACGATGAAGACATTATCAAGTTCGTTTTTTTGCCCGAAGTGATTCAAGTTAAGTTTGGAACTTGAAAAGGAGACGTCAAACATCGTTATAATCATCAATAGCCAAAACGCGCATGCGCTATCGATCCCTCATTTACGCTGAACAATGCATTTTCTCAGGTATCAATAATGCATTCGGCTGGTTCCTATTTATAGGTATGAGTTATTTACTTATTCCGTTATTCCCTCAAATATGTGCAAGTTCCATTCACAGCTCTCACGGACTAGTCTGACTACGTGACAACTGCTGAGCTGTTGTTTAGCAGACCGAGAACCGAGATATGTACTAAGTATCGCACTACTACCGACAGCGTGTATGAGGAGGGAGTTCGGAGAAACTAATGATTTGTTGGGGGGAGGGAAGTTGGTGAAGGTGACATTGAACATTACGACTCAGGGAAAAACGTAGTTACGTATTAAACGACAATAGCGAATTTTATTTATTGAATTCAATGCGTGGCCAGCCAGCTGTGTAACAATGTGGTTGAATATTTAAGTATATATGAAGGAACACTTTTGAATTATTTCTGTGCATAAGTTATGCCGCAGTGGTGATAATTCGAGTTTCAGTTTTGTTTTGATGTGTAGTAACAGGTTGTGTAAAAATGTAGTTGCTGTAGGAAGCTATTTGAGAAGTCATAATTTTTGTTCACAAATGTGTAAAAAATTAGGCTGGAAAAGTCAGAGCTTATTTTTTATTAATTTGTCTGGAAGTGTGGGCTACAGGATGTGTAAAAATGAAAGTAAACAGTCAGTATTTATTCACGGAGTGGCAATTTTCAATGATCGTTGTGAGCGTATGATTCCAGATTACTGATAATGGCAAACTTTATAGGTTTGAATATCTGGCTACAGGGTGTGTAAAAGTGTTGAAACATTCGATATTAATAAAGGGGCGGTATTGATTTATCTCTGCGCAATAATTATGCAGTAGATAATGTCAAACTTTATGTAATGATTTCGTTATGTGTTCTACAGGGTGTGTACAAAATTAAGATAAATTAGTATAATTCAGGTTTCTTTTATAAGGTTTTTCATCTCATTGTATGGGTTCAAAAATGTAAGACTGAAAATAGTCATTATTGACAGAGGGACAGTTTTCAATGCTTATTGTGAACATATTATGATACCAGATTACTGACAATGGAAAACAACATATGTTTGAATGACTGGCTACAGGGTGAGTGAAAAATGTTAAAACATTCAATATTAATGAATGATTCATCTCTGTGCAAGATTTATACCGTAGTTGAGATAATGATAAATTTTATTTGTCGATTTGGGTATATTTGCTAAAAGTGAGAATTTGTAAAAGGGTGATTTTCAATATGAAGCGGTAGGTAAGAATGATACACCGCAGTAGACCTCAGATTTTTTAAAATTAATTGGCCTCATTGCCTAGGTTACAGTTTGGAATAATATCTTGTGATAATTGCAGGTTTAAAATCTTTTTCTCATCGACGAATGATGTCAAAATAGAAGTAGACATTTTCAGGTGAAGGTTAATGTACAGGGTGTTTGGAAAATAGGCGAAAATAGTTTCCGCAATTTTATGTTCCATATAGAAGTAAGCTCAGGTGATTTTCAATTCATGAAGAGTTATTATATGGCAATGAAATTGTTAATGAAACATATGTCAAAATGCAGACTGTTGAGAATAGAGAGGTTTTAATAACTAGTGATACTAAGCGGGTGGAATATATTATTTTCTGAATATTTTATTAAAGCGTATGTTCAATGACTCTTATACATTCTTGAGTTTAAGCTTAAAGGTTTTATTTACTAGGGGTATATGTTTAAATATACTCTGTGTTATAAAAACCATCCCCAAAAATATAGAATAATGATGGCATTGGTGTATAACAGAACAGTAAAGTGAAAGTGAAAGAAATAGTAATAATAAATTTATTGGAAATCACTCACCGTGTGTAATTAATGAATGTAATAAAATGATATGAATTCATGAGTATTTGTAAAATGGTAATATTAGTTGAGCTCTAACTCCAACAAAAAAATTATATCCAAAACAAAATATCAATCTCGTTTTCGAAAAACTGGATTTTGTTTACTACTAAACAAAAGTGAAAATTTTGTTTTTTCTAAGCTCTCGATATGAAGAGTACATATTCATGGGTTAACTATTTTGCAGGTTTGCAGGTCAGCAAATTGTTCTCGGTAGACATTGCTCTCGTAATTTTTTAGGACAGAAATTTTTGGAGGTCGGGTCTGCCAGACATGAATCTCGACCAGGTTAATCATTTTTGACAAAAAAAATTTCCAACCCCCACCCAAAAATTTCACAATTCTTAAAAAATTGGAAATGAATTTTGCAGGTTTGCGGAAATTCTTGCAGGTCGGGTCTGCCAGACATGAATCTCGACCAGGTTAATCATTTTCGACAAAAAAATTTAATCCCCCACACTATGAGTATGGAAAAATTCCACATCTACGCCTTCAAGATGGTTAATGAATTGAGATGCTATTTGATCATACCAAATTATAAAACAATCGAATTTTTACCAAAAATTAATATTTTCGTTACTTCCAGGATAGATAAATATAAAAATATTACGAATTATAATTTATTGGGGAGAAATAAACTTCGAAAGAAGGATTACGGCAATACAAAAATTTCCTTAACGAAGAAATACGAATTTTCATTGTGTTAGGGGGTACCTACCTGACGAATTTATTGGGTTGTCTGAATTATATTTTGAAGAAATCAAAACAATTTACAAAAGAAGTAACGACAGGACCGGCAAATTTATTTCCAATTTTTTGAGAATTGTGAAATTTTTGGGAGGGGTTGGAAAATTTTTCTGTCGAAAATGATTTAGCTAGTCAACATTCATGTTTGGCATACTAAAAGGGTGGGGGTTGGAATTTTTTTTGTCGATAATGATTAACCCGGTCGAGATTCATATCTGGCAGACCCGACCTGCAAGAATTTCCGCCGACCTGCAAAATGTATTTCCAATTTTTTGAGAATTGTGAAATTTTTGAGTGGGGGTTGGAAAATTTTTCTGTCGAAAATGATTAATCTGGTCGAGATTCACGTTTGGCATACCCGACCTGCAAGAATTTCTGCCGACCTGCAAGGTTTAGATTCATATCTGGCAGACCCGACCTGCAAGAATTTCCGCCGACCTGCAAAATGTATTTCCAATTTTTTGAGAATTGTGAAATTTTTGGGTGGGGGTTGGAAAATTTTTCTGTCGAAAATGATTAATCTGGTCGAGATTCACGTTTGGCATACCCGACCTGCAAGAATTTCTGCCGACCTGCAAGGTTTATTTTCAATTTAATGAGGAATGTGGATTTTTTCCATACTAAAATGGTGGGGGTTGGAATTTTTATTGTCGAAAACGGTTAACATGGTCGTGATTCATATCTGGCAGACCCGACCTGCAAGTATTTCCGCCGACCTGCAAAATGTATTTCCAATTTTTTGAGAATTGTGAAATTTTTGGGTGGGGGTTGGAAATTTTTTCTGTCGAAAATGATCAACCTGGTCGAGATTCATGTCTGGCAGACCCGACCTCCAAAAATTTTTGTCCTCCTACAAGATTACGACAATAATGTCCACTGAGAACAATTTGCAGACCTGCAAAATAGTTATACCCCATATTCATGTGTTAAATTTGTTAAATCGAAGAGATTTTACTCAAGTTTGTATTTTCGTAGAGGAAAATTAACAAAAATACCATTTCCAGACTCAAATGTTGAACTTCATTAATAATAAACCCATAAATAGTTTTTATCAAAACTTCGATGAACTATTCGGTGTCACCAAAATTTGGTAGGTACCTACTTATTTCTAGCAGAATGCTGTAGTTTTGCAATGTTTCTTTTTAAGCACCTAAGTTCAACCAATTCGAAGGGCTAGGTTTGTATGTCTAAAGGTACTTGATTTTTCTTTGTGAACATTCGTAAACAATGGAACTACATATATCGACAGAAGGCTGAAAACGATGAGATTCCAAAAGCCAAGTAGGACCCACCCACTATATAGACAATGGTGGAGACATAAAAGTACGTCTAGAAGCGGAGTATACTGGATGTAAATATTGGTAGGTATGGTTTTGATAAATTCAGTTGATCATTACTATCGTGATTATCGCAATAAACTATTGAAAGCAGCAGCGGTAGTGAGTGAAAATGTGCTTTACGAAGTTTCCTATGCAGCAGCTGCTGCTACAGCACAATTATTGCCTGGAAAGCACAGGCACGAAAATGTTTATGATTGGTTTTCGAAATGGATGGATACGAATAAATGCAAAATTATTACACAGGATGTTTTGGCTTATTTGGCACAAAAATCTGAAACTGTCAAATTCTCCACCTTGTGGAGCATGTACTCATGTTGAAAAGTACCATTTCAATAAAAAAAAATGTAAACATAGCCACTCAGATGTATTTTGATAGCTCAGTTAAGGTTCTCTTCATAGTACCGAAAACCAGGTACGATCCATTTCCACAGAGCTATTTGAAATACACTTGTTGCCTGGTGAAATGATGTATGCGGATTCTTTGAGGTTTTCAATTTTTCATGAGTTTTTTTGGTGTATTGTAGGAAATATTGAGTCCTTCACAAAAATGTCTTTCGAAAAAAGTTTATTGATTACGAGTATTTTCAATACAGGGTTGATGTTAGTACATAATATTGTAGGAGCCCTGCTACAGGCTTTTAAAAACATTATACCTCATATTCTGCAACCCATCGTTTCACCCATCCTGGGTGGGCGCGAAATGGAAAATATTTTACAGTGAGGACCTTTGGAGACTTACTTCTACCGCAACTGCGTAACTAACTATCGAATACTCTCAAGCCACTTACTTATGCATTGACAAACCGAACATGCAAAGCAATGGATACTGATCTGTACGGTGGTTATACTGTATCTAAAACTCGCTGTGTGTACGCGTTATAAAGTCTGCTTATAGTTCGAGATAATTCATCGGACATAGCACTCAAGAAATGGGCAAACCATATACACATGTTTCTGGCTTTTGACCCATCATCAGTATGGTGCAGCCAAGTGTAAGGATGGGCAACACTTGCTTGCCAAAAGAACTACAAATTCATAGACCCATCAGCAGAAGCCAGCCGCACAATTGTGGTTTCAGTTAATGGATTTTGTGTATAAAAGGAAATCAATAAAATTTCCACGGAGGCAGCTACAGCTCTTTGCGTGACATTTGGGTCCAGGAAATCATTCTAACTTGAAATACATATATAAGAAGAACAAACAGTTATCCAGCAGGTAAAAACTATTGTTGATAAGGGTTTGACTAATTCTAGGAAATTTAAATTTATTTTCATGTAACCCTTGTAACAATAGTTTTTACCTGGTTTGTACCTTTGTACCTGCTATTTTGTTACTAATAATTTGACCAACTCTAGGATTATACAAATCATCAGTAACAATGGTATGCAGAAACACATTTTAATGTGAGGTTTTCACTTACGAATCATGGTTTCGTTATAGTCGAGTAATGTTAATCAAAAGGAACACAGAAAACGTTATCCAACTGTCATCTGTCAGCTTCGTCCGTCCCTGTCGTCGTAAGTCATTCTCCTACCTGGATATGAATAATTTTGTCTACTATAGTCCATTTTCTTTAGCAGCGGAGTAATAATTCATTTTCAAGTGCATGTTTCATAGGCGCACATAATTGAGTCTGTTAAAAAGTGAAAAATGTAGTATTTATTTCTAACATTCATTGTTGTTGTATGATTTGATATAACAAATTTCGAAAGACTTTTTATTGTTTTTGTGTATACGGTGTGTAACAAAAATATGGTTTACTCACAATAATGCTTGATAGATTTTTTTTATTGAACAAAAATTGCTCTTACTTTGGAATTCCTATTGAAATTTCCATTACTTTCTATGTAAAGCACTTTTCAATGTATTAAATACACGCACACCTTATTGAATCAGTCATACCTGATATATTTTCAAATTTCCCTACAAAATAGGATGACTTCATGGTTAAATCCGATCTAAAAGGTAGGGTGCTTAAATAATAATAAGAGATTCATATCTGGCAGATCCGACCTGCAAGAATTTCTGCCGACCTGCAAGGTTTATTTTCAATTTTATGAGGAATGATAACACCGCAGCCATCAA